TATGTACATTAGTTATAAATTTACAAATATCAGTGATTAAATTATAAAAACAAAATGAAATAACGAATAGAGATAAATTGTTCCAACAAAATATAGATTTTAACTTTAATATATTTCTATGTGACCTTTATGTACATTAGATTTACTTAAAAATTGTCACATATACTGAATTGTATATAGTCCATCATATAAAATTTATGAGTTTTCTACCTATTTTACAAATCTTCGATTACAGTCTTATGAAACATAATAAATTAACTACTAATGTAATTTTAACATATTCAATATACCTAAAGATATGAAATGTTGAATATTTTTTCGAACATCAAAATATCACATTTCAAAATTAACAGTAAAATAATTCGCATAATAATACTATAAATATATAAATATTAAAAGGAAAATTTCATAGCGCTGAACCATTAAAACTATGCGCTGAATAAAGAACATTAAACCTGAACACTAAACTTTGAAATTTAAACCCTGAATCCTAAACTCTGAAACTTAAACCCTGTTACCTGAAGTCTGAATAAGAATTATATTCTTTTTTATTTCAAATAAAGTACTATTATACCTAAAATAATTGTAAATAAAAAAAGAACATATAAATTCAGTATATTATATATTTATGATTTATAGCACATGTTTTTAATATTATATTACTCTATAACATGATATATTTAAAAAGAATAAATATTATAATTGTGATAATTACATGTATATTGTGCATTTTATATGTATCTAATATTTCTATTGTGTATTTATATATAAAAGTAAAATGAACTTCTGAGATTCATACGAGGTAATTCTTTTTTTATTATTCAATAAATATGTCTCAGCGTATAGATAATTAAAAAAAAAATGAATGAGTAAAAATGTTCATATTAAGTATATACATAGAATATTTAAATTTTTCTAAATATTATCATGTATTAAGGCATTAATACAAATTCGTAGTTATAAATATTAGGAATTCATTTAAATAAGAATAATCTATTTAATTATAATATAAACTATTTAATTAAATAATTAATGAGTAATAAAACAAATAATTAAAACGTAATTATGTTACTCTGAATACAATTATTAACCCCTATAGCTTGTGTCAGCGAATGGGAAATGAGTATATATATATATATATTCAAAATAATAATACATATTAGTATTATATGTATATATATGATTTAGATAATTAGCAAAATTATTTTATTTTTATTTAAAATGAAAATATTAATGTTATGAGTTTTAAATTAATATAACATATTTTTGCTATATAAAGTATTTATACCTTTTGATTCTCTTACATAATAATTACTACTGAATATTATATACCGCACGTATTTCCTAATTCATTCATATTAGTGTAATCCTTGATAAATTATGATATTGATGTCAATTTTTATGAATTTAATAATCTAAAAATATTAATCGTACACTTTCTTATAATTTATGCTTGCTTTATGATAGATATGTATATATATATTATAAAACATAGATATTGCCATTAGATCGTCCTCAAGAAATTATAATTTTGCCATAGATGGATACATTTAATGTTAATTGATAATATTGTATAATTTATAGAGTTATAATATACATATGTTATTTATTTCATATGTAATATGTTTATTTGTCGAGGGAATTTTTATATTTTTTATGTTTTCATTATTTTTTCTTCAGTACGAATTAGTAAAAGACTTTCCTATGTATAATGAAAAATTAGAAAATAACCACCTAATTCCGGGTTTAGAATATAAATATTGTTCTCCTGATGGCGGTATTGGGGGATATAATGATATAAAAGGTAAGTTCTCAGAAGATAAATGCAAGAAAGCATTGTTATTTGCATCCAAAATAGAACCAGATTATCATAGTGATTATGCATATTGGAAAGCAGATTGTTTTTACTTATATTATTGGCTGTACAAAGAATTTAAGTCTAATGGTATAAGTCAACACACCCAAAGTATTTATAGGAAATTGTTTAATATAGTAAGTATTAAAGATAGTAAAAACATATGCAACTATTACAAGAGTAAACCTATTTCAGAAAATGTATTCAAAGACGTAAGCAATTTATATGAAATGTATAATAATCTTTATTATATAAATAATTCTAATATCTCATATGTTAAAAGTAAGTGTGATTGTATTAATGAATTTTCAGCTAAATATGAAATAAACCTAATGAAATGTGAATCTAATAATAATAGCCCTTTTTGCACGGTATTAGAAGATATTAAAGATGAATATAATAATATACAAAACTTAACAGATATTTGTAATAATGTTGAATGCAAAAAGTTACCGTGTCGTAAAAATGATAGCATACAGTTAT